CTCCTCCTCTCTAGCTCTGCCTCGGCACGCCAGCACGCCAGCACGCCGGCACGCCGGCAGACTATGAAAGCAGCCAATGAAGCTCTTCCCACCTCCCTCATAAGAAAAGCTCAACCTCTTCTTGAATATCTCACCTTTTTCCACTTTAATATCTGCATAAGGCTTCAAACAAGGTATCCTACCGTTTTGATGGCAACGTCCGTAGGATCGGTGTCTTTTCGAAGAATTTTTCCTCTTCGAACTTCTCCACAACTGAACATGCAGATAAGCTGATCGAGTTGCAGGCTGTCAGCCCGGAATTCCCACGATGCCAGGCCAACACCTCTGTTCAACTGGATCTGTTGCTGTAATCCGGTAAGCTCCAGGTATGAGATTCAAGTAGAACTCAAAAAAAGTATGTAGTCAAAAAACGGACCGATCTGAATATCATTGTATGGTTCAAATAATACGTGATGAGGTCAGAAATGCTGTGGAAAGTTCGTTCGGGAACCACGTAGCACTTCTTTTTCGAATATTGAACAATAATATGCACCAACTGCAAAAAGTAGACTCGTATGACAGCTATTCGTTAACAGAACGTTCTGAATGAGCCTTCATACGTATTCCATTCTCGCTTCGATATCATGACCATGATAACGTGACTTGGGATCGTGCATCACTGACAGAACTGTTTCCAGCTTTGTCCCCAAAGAATCCGCCTGAAGACGTTGGTCATAAGTTTTGGGAAGGCACATGTCTACAGTTTTCGATTGACGAATATCCCACAAAATCTAGAGTTAGAACCTGGCATTCTGCGCCGTAATCACATTTTAGAGTTAGAGCCCACAGTCAATCTACCGTAACAAGGAGCTCTGGGCAAGTTCATGTGGGATCTGTACCGGCGGGTCGATAACTATTTCACAGTTGACGTTGTACTAGGTAGGGTAAAGGGTGAAAACAGATTGAATCGCGTCCCTGATTTGTCTTGCTTTACTGTGCTGCTTTGTATTGCACTTCTACTATGGCTGCTTTCATAGTCCGCCGGCGTGCCGGCCAAGGTAGTGCTAGGGAGGGGCAGGGAGGCAGGCGGTCGGTCGACGCGATCGCGTCGCGCCCAAGCTCCTTCGAAGGGCTGAAAACAATGAAAAACAAGACCAAAAACCATCTGTATTTGCCTTTCGAAGGGGCTTATCGCCGACACGCCGGCGGACTATAAAAGCAGCCTATGTCATCATGNCCTTCGAAGGGTTGAAAACAATGAAAAACAAGACCAAAAACCATCTGCATTTGCCTTTCGAAGGGGCTTATCGCCGACACGCCGGCGGACTATGAAAGCAGCCTATGTCATCATGCGGCTGCATCGTAACCATACGGCCCAGTTACATTCGTGGTTTTCGGGCCTTCACTGCTCAGATCGATATCCCAGAAATATCGTCAGTAGCTCTTCGTAGCTGAGAAGTCCGAAGCAGCTTACTTCACTAAGGCGTAAGAGAAAATCGCCATGTTTGATGAGTAAAATG